GGGCTCGGAAAAAATAGTAATTATACTATCAGAATAAGTAAACGGGCCCCAAAATGGGTTAACACGCATGGGCAGGCCGTAACAGCCGAATCTCGAGGCCAATAAAAACGAGAGCATCCTTTGTTAAGTTTTTATATACATGTGATATATGATTACATGGGCCTAAAGCATATTGCGGTTTATTAGCCTTTTGCATGCTCTTCCAGCTCAAATTAATTTCGTGCTCTTGATATTTTTCTGCGCTGCGGGAAAATTAATAAATATCTTTAATCAGCTATGGAGCTCTGAGCCGAGGCCCAAGAATATCCAATTTGTTATACAGGTCTACCCAAGCCATATTCTATATAACATATATGCACTCACGCACACACACACACACATATGTATATGTATGTATTGTATACATGTAGGCACCCACAGGAAAGTTAAATTTCTCGCTTTTCAGAGGTAGAGCCTTCAATTTTGGTTAGTGCCCACATTTAAATGCCAAATGCGGTCGCAACTTATTCATGTGTGAATTTTACATTGTGCGGAGGAGAAAGCATTAAGTGCGCAGCTTGCGGCACTCGTAGTTGTGTGCGCGTGTGTGGCTATGTGTGTGTGTGTGTGGGCGGGTGTGAGTGTAAATATGTTGAAACGGAAGTTTAAACATTCCCAGAGGCAGCTGGCTGCTACGTACAGCCCATACAGGATAACTTATAGTCGCGCCCATTTAGCAGATTGCCTATGAATGACTTGCACAAAACTTTGACTGTAACAATTAAGAATGATTTTGTGGGAGTTGCGCTTAACTAAGAGCTGCTCGAAATGACAAGCAGGTGCTCTACCGGGCAGCTTATACTTACTTATACATACATACATCAAATTTGGTAACTCTAGTTTCTAGCAAGTTAAGGAGCAGACTTACTTGCCTAGAGATATGTAACTTTGCTATCAAATTCTAATTAAGGGCGAGCATTTTAATTGCATTTACTAAAAGTCAGACAGCGATCAATTTCACAATTGAGCTGTGAGGGAGAAGAAGTTGCAGAGAAGAAGTTCAGAATAATAAAAAAAAAAATTAATAATAAAACAAATGATAAAATAAAATAATAAAAAGTTATACTCAACTATGTGAATCATAAAATAAATCTGTTAATATTTATAAGTTTGTTATGATACAGTTACATTTGCTATGGGAAAAATAAGGAATTATTAACAATGCAAACAAATATTTGATTTACTTGAATGAATTAAACATTTCGATAAAATGTGAATATCTTATTAAATTAATAAATAATAATAATTAAACATATTGATGAAATGTTAATATCTTATTAAATAAATAAATAATATTAAATAAATAATAAATAAATATTTAATTTTCCAGCTATGCATAAAGTCACTATATTTGATCATAAGCTTATTTATAAATATTATTTAAAATATATATAAATTCCTATGCAATTCGACTGCCATATTTGAATAACTTTGACCTATTTCAGCAATTTAAATTGAGATTCGATTTTTGAAAACTTCAATATCGTTTGCTGAACTAAGCCTGAGTACTCTTACCATTGAGTAGTCAAAGAAATGCAAATATGAAAATGGAATATGACAGCATCTAGGGGCTCTCCACTGATAACAAGCAACGAAATATATATTAGTGGCATCTAAGAACAAACTACAAAACTACTACTAACAAACAGCAATACAGAATGCCAGAGAGCGAGGCAGACAGACAGACGGACAGACAGAGAGAGGAAGAGGAAGAGGAAGATCTGAACAAGTTCTAAACAGAGGCAGAGGCAGTGACCAAAAAAAAGAAGAAGAATCCACTTATGTACATAGAAGTGCACGTTAGCTACACATGCGTGTGTGTGTGTGAATGTAACTGTGTGTGTTTGTGTGTATCACGTACATTTATCTTGATGTCGTTTTGCAGCACTTAAACTACACTAGCAACACACGTACACCTCACACACACACTCACACACACTCACACACACTCAGCCACACAGACAGTTGAGCTGCAATACTGTATGTATTACAGCCCCGTTGTCGTTAGTCGTAATGAAACGCAATGGACCTGCGTGTTAAGGGCCTCGTTGTGGTCCTCGTTGTGGACCCGTGCCAGTCGCACGCATTGCCTTAAATACGAATTTTGCGCAAAGTATCCTTAACTTTAAGATACGCACACTCGAAACACTCTCGCATTCGTCATTTGGACACTTTGGCCACACACTCACGCACTCACTCACACACGCACACACGCACGCAGAATTGTAGGCAGGGCCGTGCATGGGATTCGTATTTATGACGTGCACATAAAGTACCATAAAATGAAGACAATACGTAGTTGCATCAACAATACCTTCGACGTTATCG